ATTCCTCTGATATTGCTCTACCTTTTACCCTGTTTCCGCCCTACCCTCTGAATCGATAAAGCTCTCCTTTGTGACCGGAGTGGGAGACTTATTGAGGGGTGGGTCTACATTATGCCAAGGAGGCCCCTTAGGTCTGTGGACTAAGGGAGGCTTCCCTAAAAATCCCCTGACTTGGGGAAGTGCCCCAAGTGCTTGTATTGGGTCTAGCACCCATTGGACGATCAGGCCTGTGTTCTCCAAGGTGCGCAGAGCCAGAAGTGAGTCCAGAGCCTTGGATGGTGGCAGCGGGACCCCCAGGCTAGCGGGTGTGCTCCAGGGAAGGGGTCGGCCGGACGGGAGGCACCCCAGGGAGGCACTCGGAGCCTGGAAGGTGGTCGGGCGCAGGGAGGTGGGCGGCTCAACGCAGGAGCGCCCGCGACTGGCCCGCCACAGGCTATCCCTTAAGATGTTTTCGTCAGCCAACAAATGCCTTAGCCTTCTGGGAGGGCAACACAGAGGTGCGCAGGCAATCCAGGATGTTTTTGGGGAGTGCTGGGGACAACTGTCTGGTGCAAGTGCTGGAGGGGCCGTCCTCCTCTTGACCCGCGAGGGCAAAGCAGTTGGGTCGTGATTCTCTGCTCTCAGGAGGGAGGGTTGGTCAAGGAGCTGCCCCGGGCGTGCAACTGCAGACCCTGGTAGTCCTCTGCTTTATGCCAGTGTTTATTCCCAAAGTGCACCTGAATTCAGTGAAAAATCAACCAGCCAATTTCTTCTGTGGGGCCCTGAATCCCAGGACCAAGAAATACTGAGCAGTTCACAGAAGACGTCTCGTATCTCCTCTGATGAGATCTGCTGTGCAGCTGCGTAGCGGTCAGTGCACGCATTCGCCATGGGGCTGCTCCTTTTTTATCTAAGGTCACTTGTTATGTGTCTAGATACCTTAGTGAAGAGAAGATGTGTGTGGGGCCCAAGCATGGTCTTGTTTCCCATGCCGGAAGAAATCTCCTGTGATCTGGGGGCTTCAGCAGAGTAAAGAACAGAAGCACTGACTCCTGCTTGCACGGCAGCTTCCTTCCCACAACAAGGCCTGCAGACCCGGCGTAGGGAGCACCTGGAGCCGGAGCAGAGGAGAAAACTGACCTCCAAACATAGACTCATAGACAAGGAGGGCTGGAAGGGGTTTCAGGAGGTCATATCAAGTCCAACCTCCTGCTCCACGCAGGACCAGCCCCAACTACATCATCCTGGCCAAGGCTTTGTCTACCCAGGTCTTCAACACCTCCAAGGATGGAGACTGCACCACCGCTCTGGGTAACCCACTCCAGTGCTTCACCACCCTCTCGGGAGAAAGTTTTTCCTAATACCCAGCCTCAACTTCCCTTCCTGCAGCTTGAGCCCATTGCTCCATGCTCTGTCACTTGTCCCCCACTGAGACCAGTCCAGCTCCATCCTCTTTGCAGCCCCCCTGCAGGGAGGTGACGGCTGCTATTCAATCCCCCTCGGTCTTCTCTTCTGCAGATTAAATGAACCCATTTCTATCCACCTCTCCTCACCAGTCGTGTCCCTCAGCCCTCAACCATTTTCATTGCCCTCCACTGGACTCTCTCCAATGTGTCCACATCCTTTCTGTAGTGGGGCCCACAGCTGGACACAAGAGTCCAGATGTGGCCTCCCCAGTGCTGCATGGAGGGGAAGAATCACTGCTCTGGATCTGCTGGCAACGCTCCTACCGATGCACCCAGGATGCCGGTAGCCTTCTCGGTAACAAGGGCACGCTGCCGGCTCCTGTTCGGCTTCTTGTCCCCTGTCCCCCCAGGTCCTTCTCTGCAGAGCTGCTGCCCAGCCCGTCGCCCCCAGCCCGCGGATTGCTCCCTCCTAAGTGCAGGACTTTGCACTTGTCCTTGTTGAGCATTGGGAGATTTCTTTTGCTCCGATCCTCCAATTAGTTGAGGTCTCTGTGAATCCTAGCCCTACCCTTACATTCTCACGTTAATGAGTGGAAATGATCGTTGTGCCCTAAAGAAGTAGAATGGAAAGATCCTGGTCATGGAGTCTGTCTCCCCAGGTGAGATTTGCAGGGGTACAGGCTGTGGCCAATGCATCTGCTTTTCTCACGAGCTGGCTGACGTATCCTTGCCGTGCAGCTGTAACTTCCTTACTGGCAGAAAGGATATTTTCTGCAATACATTTTCCTAGACTAATGCCCCCCCGCCTTCCTGCTCCATGCGTCAGGGGGGTTTTAATCCTCCCCCAGATGCACTGGTTCATAGATTCATAGATTCATAGATGTTAGGGTCGGAAAGGACCTCAATAGATCATCGAGTCCGACCCCCTGCATAGGCAGGAAAGAGCGCTGGGTCTAGATGACCCCAGCTAGATGCTTATCTAACCTCCTCTTGAAGACCCCCAGGGTAGGGGGGGAGAGCACCACCTCCCTTGGGAGCCCGTTCCAGACCTTGGCCACTCTAACTGTGAAGAAGTTCTTCCTAATGTCCAATCTAAATCTGCTCTCTGCTAGCTTGTGGCCATTATTTCTTGTAACCCTTGCGGGCGCCTTGGTGAATAAATACTTACCAATTCCCTTCTGTGCCCCCGTGATGAACTTATAGGCAGCCACAAGGTCGCCTCTCAACCCTCTCTTGCGGAGGCTGAAAAGGCCCAGGGTCTCTAGTCTCTCCTCGTAGGGCTTGGTCTGTAGGCCCTTAACCATACGAGTGGCCCTTCTCTGGACCCTCTCCAGGTTATCCGCATCCCTCTTGAAGTGCGGCGCCCAGAATTGCACGCAGTACTCCAACGGCGGTCTGACCAGCGCCCGATAGAGGGGAACTATCACCTCCTTGGATCTATTCGTCATGCATCTGCTGATGCACGATAAAGTGCCATTGGCTTTTCTGATGGCTTCGTCACACTGCCGACTCACGTTCATCTTGGAGTCCACTAGGACTCCAACATCCCTTTCCACTTCCGTGCCACCCAGCAGGTCATTCCCTAGGCTGTAGGTGTGCTGGACATTCCTCCCTAGGTGCAGCACTTTGCATTTCTCCGTGTTGAGTGCTGGTGCTGGTGCTGCCGCAGCCCAGGCTGGGGATGGGCTGGGCTGGGCTGGGCCAATGCTTTTACTGGCGCCGACCCCGCGGGGTCCTGGCTGGAGGGTCTTGCCCCCGCGGTCAGGCTCAGCTCCATGTTGCACTGGGGCAGGAAGGGATTTCCCCCCTGCTCAGACTGGTCTGGACTTGGGGGTTTCTCCTTCCTCTGCAGCGGGGGCACGGCTTGGCCTGGGGGCTCTTGAGCGTATATTAACAACCTTTTAAAGAAGCAGGATGCTGGCGGCCACGGCCCCCCCGCTTTCCCTGTGGCAGGCTTGGATGTGATGTCTGGGCTGTGTCAGGGGTGATGGCAGCTTAGAAAGAGTTAGATGATGGCTTGTCTGGGCTGGTTTGGACGGGGCTGACCCTGCCTCAGGCAGGGCTTGGACTGGATGTGACCCCGCAGCTCCCTGCCAGCCCCGCGGCTCCGGGACTCTGTGATTGTCTATAATTAATGGTTGTTCGCGTAGCTTTCTGTCAGACTGAAAGGGCAGAGCGAGTGAGGTCCCCAGGTGTCTGTTCTCGGTCCAGCACTAGTCAGATTTTCACCATCGCCTCGAATGATGGGATAGAGAGGACGCTCACTGCATGCGTTGCTGACCCCAAAGTGGAGGGATCACAAGCAGTCTGGAAAGCAGGATTAGAATTGAAAATGAGATTGCTGAATTGGAGAAATGGTCTGAAATCAAGAAGATGAAATTTGGCAAAAACGAGCGCTCAGTACTGCAGTTCGGAAGGAAGAATTCACGCACACGTGCAGAAGTGGATTACTGCTGCCTCGCTGGTCACTGAAGAAACCGGTCCGGTAGCCACCCTGGACGGGGTCCAGAGCGGGGCAGGGAGAGCGACAAGGGACCTCAAGACGTGGCGCCTGGAGAAGCTTGAAAGAGCTGGGTTTCCTACCGCAGCGCGGAGAGGAGCGGTCTGGTGTCGGCGGGACGTGTCTGTGGTGGGGGACCCACAGCCAGCAAAGCGTGCTCCATGTTCGAGCAGGACGGGGCTAGAAACGATTGCCTCGAATAGCAACGCGGGAGACTTGGAAATGCTTTCTTGATATCAAACCTCTTAGTAAGGCTGGTCCCGTCTGGAAGAGGCGAGGTAGGGAGGCTGCGCAGTCCCCCTCGCTGGAGGCTTCTGAGAATAGGGCAGGTCGGTGTTCGTCAGGGATGCTCTGAGGTACTCGGTGCTGCTTCAGAGCTGGAGGAGGGCCTCGGTGACTCGTCGGGTCCCTTCCAGCCGCGATCCCGTGGGAGTAACGGTGGAAGCTCCTTCGCTGGGGGTTTGCAAGAGGAGACTGGATGCCCATCTCCTGCCATCCTGCATCTGAGCTGGGGTTGGACTAGATGTCCCTGCAGGTCCCTTCCAGCCCGGTGATGCTGCGAGTGCTCGCCGTGTGAGCCGGCCCAGCTGCCCAGCGCATCTCCAATAAGTCACGTGGGTTTATCTTGCTCCCTGCTTGGATGAACGTGCAAGTGTGTCTCTGTTCCCACAAGGACTCTAGCCTGGGACTTTCCACGGTCTTTTTGCCAGTGGAGTGCAAAAGCTCATGAGATGCAAGACTAAAAGGAGCAATGCAAGCTTATGCCATAGGTCTGTTATAGTATATATGATGTGTTTGCTATATGCTGCTCGTTCCAGGTGACAAAGAAAGGGAGCTCCCTTTAGGCTCTTCTAGACTCTGTTTTGGTGTGGAAATTGCTAAAGTGGGGTTATAACCAAATAATCCAAATGAGGTGTTGCTTAAATGCATTAAATTATGTAGGAAAGAATTGAAAGTATGCATTTATCATGTCCTGCTCGTGTGGTCAGCTCCGTCGCTGGGGTGGTGGCGGGGCGTGACGCTCACCCAGCCTGTCTCTCCTCAGGCTCTACGAAGGGAGTAAGACGGAGGAGTTCCAGGCGTCGCTGCAGCGGTTCCTGCTGTCCGTCAACCAGCTGATGAAGTCCACGCAGGAGGGGGCCACGCTGGACTTCCAGGTGAGCCGGACGCCGGCGGAGCTGCGAGCCAGCAAGCATCTGTGTGTGCAGATGGGGGCATTCGCTGGCACGAGTTTGTTCTCTGAAGTATCTGGTCCTGGCCCCGTCGGGGAGCTGACGGAGGGCTGGGTTGAGCGGACGTGGCCTGGCGATCCCTGTGCCCCCGTGGAGAGCGCTAGGCTCTGCCACGCTGCAGCCTGTGGTTTGAGGACGTGATGCGGCCTGCGTGTCGTGGAGCGGTGCCGTGGGTGTTACTTCATTAGCTTGTCTTCCCCCAGCACAGTGCTGTATATGGGGGTGGGTTTTCCTAACGGCTCCTGCACCCCCTTCACATGAAAGCTCCTCGGCTTTGCTTTGGGCGCATCGCCACCCCACCTGGCTTCCATCAGTTGGAAGCCGATGCCTCGCTCCCATTAGCCAGCGATGCATGTGCCCGTTATCCAGCTGATACGTTCCCGGCCCAGCGCCTCCTGCTCTGTGCTGCCCTTTGCCCGTGGACGGCTGCCGTGCGGATGCGCTGGCTGTTGTGCTGGTCCTTATAACAGCTGCAGGTTGCAGCAGGCACAGCTTGGAGGGTAAGACCGGGAGGCTGCATGGGCATGGGGAAGCTTGCAGGAGCGCCAGGCCCAGGCTGCACCGTACGCAGAGCACATGGTGCTTCCAGTAAGGACCCCAGTGTTGCAGTCCAGGTGCAGCCCCCGCATGCGTGTGTGCAGCTAAGTCCTCTGCGTCTCGCTGCACGTGCTCCCCTGCCTGCCTTTGGCTCGCCCTGAGAGACCTCTGGCTTAGGAGTGGACTCTAGTCCATGTTTGTACAGCGCCTAGCGCAGCAGGGCCTGCTCCACGACCACAGCCTCCCAGGTGTGAAGGTCGCATAAGCAAACCGAGAGCCAAGGTCCATCACAGAGAAGATGGCTCCATCCCAGTCCAGGGAGTTCAGTTCCCAGCGCCCCCCCGCTCCCCCCTCCAGACAGAGCAGGACACCCCGTCCGAGGCCACGTTCCCAGCCCGCCTGCTCAGGCCTGACCCGTAACGACAGTGGCGCCCCGCAGCGACCACGTTGGGGTGGGGTGCTGCCCACAGAGGAGCTGACGCACCTTCGCACCTGGTGAAGCTGAATTCGAGACGAGATCTGAATCCGTCTTGCTTTGACGTCGTGCAAGATGCAGTTCGGTGGCAGCACCTTGCTCCCCACGCACGTGGCCAGGCCACCCTCGGCAGCCGGCTCAGCCATGGCAGGAGGACACGCAGCTCCTGCTCAGCCCGGGATGAGCGCCAGCCCTGCAGCACGTGTCCTTGAGCTCAGCGTGTGTCAGTCTCGCATCTGGCGCGGCTTGGATTCAGGCCAGGACCTAGCGTCCTAAAGAGCCTGATGATCTGCTGTCTGGGCAGAGGGCAAACGGCTGCTCTTATCCTTGCAGACCTTTGGAAATGCCTCTGGGAGAGCAGTGCAGGGTGCAGGGCACGCGCGGGAGTGTGCCGAGCGTGTCCTGGTGCGAGTGACAGGAGACTGCTGCAATCCTGCAGACACCTGCCCTCGCCAGCTCTCCCCTGCACCAGCCAGGTGGAGCAGCGAGGGGTCGGCAAGGACTCGGTGCGCGCCGCCCTCCCTCTCCGCCCCCACGTGCCGCAGCAGCTCAGTCCTGGCCCAAACGGTCTCGGGTGGAAGCAGACCCCGAGCAGGACAGAGGGCGGGATTGTGTATGGTGAGAAGTGACGTGGGTACAAGGACTCGCCCCATTTCTAGCCATGACCCTCTTCTATCTCGGGGACTCCCAGAAATACCCTTCTCATGTCAGCGGTACTGGTGCCCTCAATGCCACTGCGCCATAAAAGCCGGAGGACTTTGTGCCCCGCTTGTTTGCTCTCCTGGGGCAGGCCTGGCGTTGTGCATGTGCCCTGCTCTTCGCCCCCCACGTCCCGTGCCATGCCAGACTCCCGCTGCTCCTCCTCCATGCATGTCTGTGTGGGTCGGGAAGAAACCTCCAAAAGGATCTAGAAGAACTAGAGAAGGGCGGCACGGATGATGAGGGGCACGCGGGGGCTTCTGTATGAGGAGAGACGATAGCAGGCCTGCTCGGGGTCAAGAAGAGACGCTGGAGCGGGGACACAAGAAGGGCTGACAGAGGACTGCATGGCGAGGAGAAATCACCAGAGATTTATGGTTTCCTGTCTCTCACCCGGGGTCGCAGCGTGCAAGGAGCAGGCAGTACATTTAAAACCAACACCGGGCAGTTGTGTTTTCCTAGCGTGGCATGAGAAGGGGGACTCGTGGCCCCCAGATGTGCGGGAAGCTGAGAGCTCAGCTGGATTCACCGGGGCTTGGACACGTGCTGGGAGGAAAGGGGCATCGGGGGCTCTGGGGCAGGGCGTGAGGGGCACGGGCTCTGCGTCAGCCCTGCCCAACCTCAGCGCTGGAGGCTGCGGGGAGAGAAAACCCTGCTCCGCCCGGTCACTCTCCCTCCAGCTCTGCTCTGCCCCGTGCCATGCAGGAGACAGACCTGGGGCCTGAGCCAGGACGTGGCAGCACTGATGCTCCCGTGGTCAGATCAGTGCAGACGGGCACGGGGGTTTTGCCTGCTTCTGCAGCGAGGACGCGATCCTCTTCTTGGCTCCCTTGAGTGCATTTTAACGAGCTCTTTCTCGCGAGCGGTGGCAGGATGTTGGCGGTGCCCTTGCCCCCGCTTCTCTGTGACAGGCTGCGGTCCTGCCGTTGCTCCCGGGCACGTGCTGCGTGGTTGCGCGAGGCAGTTGCCAGTGCAGTTCTGGTTGGAACGGGCCAGACTGGCGGTGCTCAGCCTTCCCGGCATTGGGTCCACAACGTTAAGTTAGGGGAAGCAGAAGTACCCAGAGCCATAGCAATTCACACAGCCCCCGCTCCCCTCCGCCGACCCGTGGACCCGTGGGAAGCCCCACGGCCGGACGACTTGCTCTGTAGGCTGGATCCAACCTAGTGGCCGTGCTCTGAGCACCGCTGGGCCCGACGGATGCTCATCCCGGTGCGGCGCTGGGGCTACTGGTGACCTCCCGAGGGCCCTATGAGGAACCCACTATAAACCAGTTTGCACCCGGGTTAAGCTCGGGCGTCTGCAGAGGACCCAGCTGGGCACAGCCACGTTGCCACGTCTCTGTCGCAGCATTTCCTAGAGCAGTGCTAGCTTGTTACAGCCTCTGCCTCTTGCTTTGTCAGACCTCTGCAGCAGAACAGAACAGCGTATTCCCTTTCCATCTCTCGGAGGGTGAATTTATTACCTGCATTAGCGATTTGCAGTAATTATTCCCCAGTGACTTTAGTTTCTGCAGGAAGCCCACCCCGCTGGCCTGGAGCACAGACTCGCGCGGCGCTTACAGGCTCGCTGGAGCTGTCTGTTTGACGTGTCCCCGGGGTCAGTCACGTCTCAGGATATCGGTCTGTGAAGCGTCCATTGCTCCAAGCATCGCCTCTGCTCTGCGCACCCAGCAAGTCTCCTCCTCCCTCGTCTTCCCCACGCTCCTCATTTCTCTCCTTTCTGTCAGGAAACTGTCTCGAGAGGACGGGCTAGTCCGGGACATGGGGCATGGTTGTTCTGGAGCAGCCAAGGATTCGTTCAGCTCCAAACATTTACGGAGGTGATCGAAGCCAGTGGCTCTGCTGACGTGGTGTGAGGGGCTCCACGTGTCCTCCGTGTCCTGCTGCTTGGTTTTTCGGTGTTTGCCAGTCAGTGAAGAACTGCACGTCGGCATTTCTTTGTCATTGAACCGCGGGTTTGACCTTGCTTGGCTCGGCCAAGGACCCCCAGGACAACAAGTCCTCAGGCAGGAGGGAGGGGAATAAATCCCAGATGTCACCAGCTTTGTTGGGCACTCAGGCACAGTGGGTGAGGAAAAGGGAGATCCCAGTAATGAAGGATATCTCAAGGGCCTCATGAGCCAGAGCCAAGAGAAGGTCTCTGTCCACGTGCCCCCTCTCCGCTCTGCTCAGGGCCCCAAAATCTGCCATAGGGACAAGAGGTCACTTGTGCAGCCTCATCCTGTGCGATTGTCTGCTCTTCGTGGGCTTCATCCGTGGGCAGAGCGGTCTCCTCCAGCAAGCGTGCCACGGCTGTCTCCGGGGTCTCTTTGCTGAGCTGGATGATGTGCGAGGAAATGCACTCCCAGTCCATCCTGCGCCAGGCCGCGGGGGCCGCGTTGGACGAGGCGAGATGTCAGCGTACGTCCCCGGGAGCAGCCGTTGTCCGAGCTCGGCTGCCGGCTGGGGCTGGGGCTGGGGCTGGCGCAGCACGGGGCGGTTCTGCAGGTGCCCAGCACCTTTCTGGGACGAGCGCTCAGCCGCCAGCCCTGCCGCCTCGTTCACAGCCTGACCTCCCTTTGCAGCCCTAAGGCGTAGACACGCGAAGTCTTTTTAAAATAAATCTGTTAATCCTGGAGCTCGAGCTGGAGCCTCCACGGTGAGCGCAGGCTGCCCGCACCAGTGGGAGCTGGTCCAAACCCACTGCTGCGGGCACTGGGACAGAAGACGTATAGCAAAGAAACACGGGTCAGCCCAGGACTGCATCCGGCCCGGTTGTCGGTGTCCGAGCCAGGCCGGGGTACCGGCTGCTACGGAGGAAGGGATGTGCTGCTGGCTCACGCTGCACCGGCGCATGTAGAGTAACCTCGTTTGCACGGAAAAGGAGTGACGGATGCCTCTCTGAGGCTGCAGAGCTTGGGGACGTGGCACAGAAGTATCTCTCGTGTCTGACCAGCCGCCCAGCGTGCCGTGGCTCAGAGCCGGCGTCGGCTCACCTCGCTGGCCGGCCTCTCCATCCTGGCTCTTTCTGTTGGCTTCTTTCCGCACCGCTCGCACCTGCCTGCCCCTTCCGCCGCTCCTGTCCCCGCGCCCGCCCGGGGGGGATTGTCTCGACAGCGTGTCAGCTGCAGGGATGCTTTTCCTGGTGATGCGCAGGGTGGAAGTTTCCTCTCTGCATCCGGATAATCAGCCCTCGTCTGGGCGAGGGGCAGGAGGCGCTTGCTCAGGACTTT